ATACACATATATAGACTCAGGTACGCATAAAACCACAAAACAATAGAAAATTGAAAAACATCCCGGTAGCCATACATTCGTCTAGTATGCACATGTGCATAAAAGTAATTGAAGATGTTTTTGGGCACGTGTGCATTTTATGCATACATGCATACAGACATGTGCATACCGAACAAATGAATGGTTATCCGGCTGTTACCTCAGAATTACATTTTTTTATGGTTTTCCCCATACCCCAACCATATATATATATATATATATATATATACACCTCTATGTGGGATTTACTGAGTCCGTTTCATTTGGTTTTATTGTGGATAGCAGGGAGGATGAAGACTTGGACGCTAATCTTAAGTGTAGTATCGGCTCTGGTTCTGCTTATGGTGGCTTTCTTGGTCTTGTTTCTTCTTAGAAAAAGAAGGGCTCAAAGAACCAAGAAAGATGAATCGAAATCCTTCAGAAAGAGTCTAAACGCTGAGAAAACGACCCTGGAAAATCATTTTCTGAATATGGACATGGAAGGTCAGTTGAATGTTAAGCCATTTTTGCCAACTATAAGCTCGCTTATTTTTTGATCTTATTGAAAAAGCCCGTTTGGTTAGCCATAAGCTAACTTTTTGAAAAGTTATTTCAAACAACGTTTCAATAATCTCCATGGGTTTTTTTCCGCTTCTTTTTTCTCAATTATGGCCCTTATATTTTTTCCATCAAAATTTTCAACGTGTCCTTCTAGATTATTTTATATTGTCATCTGACTTATCAACTAGTTTTTATCAAAAATAGTTAGTTTATCAGCTTATTAGCCTACACGTTTGCCAAACATAGCTTTAGTAACTCTCGAAACAAGCAACAAAGTATGATTATATGTAATGGTATGCAGAGGCAGCATCAAATATCGAGTCTGAAAAACCAGTTATTATTAGTCTGGAGGAGATCGAGCTGGCTACAAATAGTTTTGATGAAACCAGGAAAATAGGCGAAGGTGGATACGGTAGTGTGTACTTTGGCATAATAAGAAAAAGGGTATGGCAAGTCTAATAACACAATCTTTAACTTCTTTTATGCACCAGGGGCAGCGGCAGGTTCATTTGAGAACCATAAATATTTTGAGAACCGTGAAAACCAACTATTCATAAATCATTGATGATGAATATCATATGAAATAAGGAAATGCAAAATATACATAATGAATATTTAGGCATATTCATCATGAATAGTTCATTCTCAAGGTTCTCAAAATATTTATGGTTCATGAATGAACTTAACCCTTTCACACTGGTCTAACACTAGGGGCAGCTGGCAGTTTCATTTGAGAACCATAAATATTTTGAAGACCGTGAAAACCAACTATTCATGAATGTCATGAATAATGAAAATTATTTTCATAATGAATACCATGAATAATGTAAAAATATAATATTCATAATGAATAATATTTAGGTATATTCATCATGAATAATTGATTTTCACGATTCCCAAAATCTCTACAGTTCCTGAATGAACTTACCCCTTTCACAATAATCTAACATCATTGCTGATTTACATGTCTAACAGGATGCTGCAATAAAGAAGATGAGATCTAACAAGTCAAAGGAGTTCTTTGCAGAGCTCAAGGTTCTTTGCAGGATTCATCATAATAATGTGGTGAGAAGTTTATAATAGAAAATGAAACAATAAAAAGTGATAATTATTTGAGCAAAACTTGATTACCAACAACCCCGATCGGCCCTACACGGAACCCGCCCCCTAGGAACCACATGTGGGGGCATTTCGGAACCGGGTCAATGGATGAGGCTAGTGGAGGGGTGCAAGCCCATCACTCGTATGATTCGAACTTGTATCTTTTGTGTATTTGAGCAAAGTCGCTCCGCCCCTTTGCCAACTGAGCTCCTAACGGCGATAAAAGTGATAATTATGATCCAACTTTCTCTTTACTCTCTAGGTGCAACTACTAGGATATGCAAGCGGTGACAACCATCTATATTTGGTATATGAATACGTCCCGAATGGAACACTTAGCGACCATCTTCAGGATCCTTTACTAAAAGGTAATTTCCCGGTGACTCGTTTATATAGTCTATGTTTGACAAACTAGATGACAAGCTAGTTGTTAGCTGAGAAACTATTCGTGTTTGGTAAAAGCTAGTTAGATGACAAAGTAAAATGACATTAATGGACATGCTGAAAAATAATTGGAAACATATAAGGGGCATAATTGGAAAAAGAAAAGTTGAAAAAAGCACTGGAAGCTTGTTGAAACACTACTTGAAGTAGCTTTTCAAAAAGCTAGCTTAAGGCAAATCAAACCAGGTTTTTTCAATAAGCTAGTATATGGTTGCTAAACATGGCCATTAACAGATATGATTGATTCGAATGTTAAAGATTCTAAAAGCAGACGGTATCAGGTCACCAACCGCTTTCGTGGACTGCTAGAGCAAGTATTGCACTTGATGCTGCAAGGGGAATCGAGTACATTCATGATCATACAAAGGCACGCTATGTTCATCGAGATATTAAGACAAGTAATATACTTCTTGATTTGGGACTCAAAGCAAAGGTACTTTCGAAAAAGCATTTCCGACTAAAATACAACTTCAACTACAACAAAACCGTGTTTAAAAGAGCGCATTTGGGCATCCTAACAAGTCTTTTAGGACACTTATTAATAAAGTGTCCTATTAAATTTTCAATAGGACATTTCTAAGAAGGGTCCTATGAACACATCTTTTTATAGAACACTTATAAAAGACACTTTTTCAACTAATATCATATAAAAAGACTAATAAGACACTTTATTTCAAAAGTGTACTAAAATACTTATTAGAGCATCTCCACTATGCTAAAATAGAGATTTTGGAGATCTAGGGTGTATTTTTGCACCAACCATGCATAATATATACTAAAATAAAGAAAAGAAGAGAGAGAGGGTAGAAATCTCCAAATTGGAGAAATCTCTAAGGCTTCATATTTAAGAGAGAATAATATTTAATTCTTTCTCATCAATATTGGAGAAATCTCTAAAATTTCATATTTAAAAGAGAGAAATAATATGTAATTCTTTCTCACCAATAGGAGATATTGAAATTAAGTGTTTAGGAGAGAAATAATGTTTTTATTAAAGTATTAAATATTTTAATAATATAGTTAATGATAGAATTGCTAAAACAGAGTAGTTGTTGAAGTTGGGTGTAATTACTTTAGTGAATTTTAACTTTTGCTACTCTATGTCTAAAAAATTATCGCATAGTTGTTGAAGATGCTCTTTAAGACACCAAGAAACGTTCTATCAACTTACTGACACTGTAACACCATTACATAAAACGCACAATTGTTTGGTCTTACAATCCTATAAAGCAAGTCTATTGGGACATTTAGACATATTTGGAATCCTATAAAACCCGTTTTTGTAGGAATCTCTACCAAGATAATAGCCCGATTTGTTAGAAATATTAAAATCTGTCAACATAAAATCGCCTTTTTATTTCTTCTCCATCATTAGAATTTCATAATTTGGAAGAAGAAGATGTTCAAGATCATATGATGGTCGAATTTCAACCAACAGTGCTAGGGTGTTGTTGTAGGTTGCGGATTTTGGACTGACCAAATTCGTTGAACGAGCAAATGAGGACGATTTCGTAGCTACTAGAGTTGTGGGTACACCTGGTTATCTAGCTCCCGAGTATGTTTGACACTTTGACTTGATGATATGCGTATATCTAATGATTACTACAAAAGATTTGATTTGTTGCTCATAAATTTAGTAAAACTCCAACTGGGTATGAATCGATGATCATTATCATGACTTCCTCTTTAATTTGCTTTTGCAAGGTCAATAAGCGAAATGCAAACCACATCAAAAACTGATGTTTTTGCTTTCGGTGTGGTTCTAGCAGAGTTGATAACAGGTCAACGAGCACTTGCACGTGATAAGCAGGACCCGGCCAGGCTCAAGACACTAGTTTCAGTGGTAAGTCTAATATTAAGGGCATCTTCAGCCCTCGAGCATGTAGCTCGGTTGACAAAGGGGCAGAGTGACTTTGCTCATATATATATATATATATATATATATATATATATATATATACAACAGGTTCAAGTTTGAATCCTGTGGAGACAAACTTGAACCCCCTCCACTAGCCTCAGCCAGTGAGTCAGCTCTGAAATGCCTCCTCACATGTGGTTCCTAGGGGGCGGTTAGGGTTGCTATTTGCTCAAATAAAGGCATCTCCAACCAAACACCAAATCCTATTTTTACACCAATTCACTCCAAATCCAACACCAATTATTACATCATTTTGGTGTCCTGTTCTTTTACACCAAATTTTACACTATTGTGATGCAAGAAATGGTGCATACGAGTGGAGATGGTCTAATGGTTAAAAGGGATCATTCCTGAAGTTCTAGTTTACTATGTGATGATCTAGTTAACCATTTTCTCTACCAAAATGACCAGATTCGTGTAATATTCCAACATCAAGATTCGGCAGAAGCCTTGGAAGCTCAAATTGACAACAATTTGAAAGGAAGCTACCCAATAGAAGAAATCAACAAGGTTGGTAGAATGAAGTTTTGTTATCCATCTAAACACACTAAATATGCAAGGTTCCTCACTCAAAAAATGGAGTTGCTACCAACACCCATTGAAATAGAGAAACAAGGAGCCTTAATTAAAAGGTGGTGTTGGAGGAATTCAAAAAATATAGAGAAACTGTGAGTAAAATAGCTTGGGTAAAAACTGAGATCGCGTGAGAGCTCTCTTTCCTTGAGTTATATTTCGACCCAAATCTGTTAGGGTATCACGAAACTAACTCGAGGATAATCTCAATTTTTTCGGTCACGATTTTGGCAGAAATCGTTCCCTCATGAACCTAGATAATCGTAAGCACTCATATATTAAAGGAGAGAATAACTCCCCATTAAATAGCAATGACTATTGGAGTAATTAGTGGATGGTTAACTGCACAACAACTACAAACGGCTTACACGGATCAGAAGGCTGGAGCTTCTGTATCGTCAAAAACTTCCTCATAGTCAGAAGCTTCTAGGGGAAGCTTTATGCAGAAATTCTAAGTTTTTCCAAACTCATCCCTTCCAATTAAAAAACAAGCTCCTTCCATCTATGAAAAAAACTTTCCTAATGAAAAACCTTTCCAATCTATACGGACTGATTAATCCCAGCTTTATTCATAGAAAACTTAATGGAAAACCCCTCATAGGCCTCTGAGGAGATCTGAGAGGAACTCAAAGACTTCAGAATTTCACTTAGGACAGTCAAAAGCTGCCCCTAGGACCCCACAACGGGTGCGTCCCCCTTGAACCCCGTATGGAACCATCTATCCATCTCGGGTTCTAGTTAGATTACACGAGTGTGCACTCCACACCTCCAAACACGTCATATAGCTTAACTATCAACCCTATATTCTCTGATGAATCCAATTATATAAGATTTCAGTAAAATCACAACTAGATGTCTGAACCAACAAATGGTTATAGCATTCAAATATCTAATAGCCAAACAAATAAGCAATTTCCAGTATACTTGTTGATCTATTTATAATAAGAGAAGCTTTTACCTCCTTCTTCGCAGATGGCAGAAACGTCTTTCCTGTGTTTGAGCGAAGATCCGGCTAATAGACCAGAGATGCGCGAGGTTGTCTCAATTTTGGCCCAAATAGTGATGGCGTCGATAGAATGGGAAGCATCACTGGGTGGGACGAGCCAGGTTTTCAGTGGATTGTTCAATGGAAGATGAAATCATTTTGATTCAATTTGTGAGAATATAAGAAAACCTTAAATCGTAGTATGCAAATGGGAAGGAGATGATTGAAAGTAATGAATCAGTGTATTTAGATCCAAAATTCAGCAATATCGATATACAACAGAAAAATCTGAAATGGAACTGTTATACATAGTGATAGTAAATGAAGATGCTGATGCATCTTGTAGAAGATCGAAACGGGTTCTTTCAATATGTTATTAGCGGGAAAAAAGTTCATGGGAAAATTACAGGAAAAAGAAAAGGGAAAAGGAATCTTATAGTTTCAATTATATATATATATATATATATATATATATATATATATATATAGGGAAGGGTTCAAACGAGAACCCCTGTGATTTACGAGAACGCAAAAACAACCTAATAACCTCATATTGTGATAAAAAATAAAATTAAAAGATTTTTAAAATTTAAATTTAAATTTAAAAAGATTCAAAAAAATTTAAAATTAAAAGGGTAATAATGGAAATAATATCATCAAATCTTTTAAACACGATCATTATCTTTTAAACACTTATTATTATCATTATCTAGTAAAACGGTTACGAAATAGGTTAGGATTATACTAGGTGTGATAATCATGTGATATAGGTGTGATAATCATGTGATAGGGGTGTGATAATCACCATTATACATCACTTGGGTTATCGTTTTGGTTAATAAGTTAAAATTTTAGTGTAATCATGTGATAGAGGTGTGATAATCATGTGATATGAGTGTGATAATCACCATTATACATCACTTGGGTTAACGTTTTTGTTGATAAGTTAAAATTTTGGTGTCATCATGTGATTTGGGTGTGATAATCATGTGATAAGGGTGTGATAATCACTGTTATACATCACTTGGGTTATCGTTTTGGTTGACAAGTTAAAATTTTGGTGTAATCATATAATATGGGTGTGATAATCATATGATATGAGTGTGATACTTATGTGATAGAGGTGTGATATGAAGAAAAGATGTTAACGAGAAGAAGAAGAAGATAACTACCAAGAGTAAAACTAGGAACGTGCAAAGATAATTATGATTAATTAAAATAAAATAAAAATTATAAAAATTACTTAATTACATTATTGTCCCTATTAAATTATTTATATATAATAAAAGTTAATTTATTAATTAAAAAAGTTTGAGGTTATTGTGTTGTTCTCGCATTCTCGTAAATCACAGGGGTTCTCGTTTGAACCTCCACCTATATAAATTATTAATCATAATTAATAAACTCTATTCATGTTCCATAAATATTCAAATCATAATAAATGAACTCCAATCATTTCTATAAATATCTCAATTAATTGGGTTGCAAATGTTGTACAAATATACAAGGTTGTAAAAGAAATATACCCTATATATATATACATATATACATAGACTTGGATAACGTGAGACCATCATGTTTTTTGTAAGAGCCGTGAGACCACTTTTTTATACTTGAAACTTCTGAGCAAAATAAATCTTCACACTTCTAACACAAAATAAAAACGCAAGAAATATATCACTATTATTAGTCATTTCTTTACTGCTAGCTTGTAATTTGTTTTATTGGTTCATTGTACTTTATTACTGGTTTGTAATTTGTTGATCCATGGAGAAAAAATTGTATATTCTTTTGTTTTATAAGTATAACAATTTTATCTATTCAAAACAAATGTTTAGTGACTTAATCGATCAAAAGTTCAAAACATTAAAAGATCCTTTGGGCTTTTTTCAATTTTACGGTTTGTTCAAAAAAGATTTAAAGACTTATTTATTTGAAATAGAATATCCATTGGGTTTTTTCATGCTTTTTCCTAAAATTTTATTGCAAACTTGTAACTAAAAATAGGGCAAATTGCATGAAAAAATAAAGAATTTTTAACTTGATTCATATTTTGAGTAACTTACTTTCGAAACTTCCATTTTGATTTCTAAGATGTAAAGTTTTAAACATTTAAGTACCCGGGTAACCGGTTGAAACATTGACCGGTTATCATGTTGATGTGGCGAGTGAAGTGGTATCCAACTCAGTATTATTTGTTGACGTGGTTAGTGACATGAATTTTTTTACATCTTAGTTATCAAAATGAAAGTTTTGAAAGTACGTTACTCAAAATAAAAATCAAGTTAAAGTACGTTATTTTTTTCATGCAGTTAGTCCTTAAAAATAATGTAATTTTTCATAAAAAAAACAAATTAAAATATTTTAGTTTGAATAAAATAAAAATGATAATAACTTACAATCATACATAATCAAAATGTATCCGGCTACATTTGTAAAAGCATACTTTTAGTACTAAATTATTGTCTTATTCTTATAAATTCCATATGTGAATGAGTTAAAAACACAAGATTCTTTAAAAGACCTTTAACCTAGCGATATGTGAGTCTTTAGCCTCTTAACAAATCAGGGGTTCACCCCTTCCCAAAGATGAGAAAGTGTGTGAGTTTATTTGCTCTATTTTGCCATATATAAATATTACATACTTCAAAAAAACCACAAGATTCTTGGCGATAAATTTCGATGCAAAGTTTGATATGAAGTTTCAAGATATTCGATTCAATAAACAGCAATTCCACTAAACAAATCATAGAAATCAAAACCATATTTGTTTTTTTATTTAATGAACTTGACAACTTATTCGTTCAACCTTTTGGGATGGAAGACATGTCTTCTTATCTACTTTCGAGTGGATATATGTTGTCATGTGCACTTAGACAAGATGCCACAGTTAAGCTGTGATCATGTTATTTTCCATGGTCATTTACTCATTTAGAAGAATATAACCTCTAACATGATCTTTTAAATACATAACTTTCTGACATATTTTGATGATTTTTGTATTAGGAAGAAACGTTATTTTGTTAAGAATCATGTTTTTTTTAAACGTGTCAAAAGATTATTCTCATCTAACCATAAAAAAAAAATGAGAGAAGTTACTTGTGAGAATATGTCGGAACCCCCGTATTACTCTACAAAAGAGCCCTTGAAGAAAAATAGGAGGTTCCAACATATAGCCACGGGGAAAAATCTCATTATAATTAACCCCATGGATTTGAGGAATAGTCCAAGTGTAGCGGATGTACGCCAACACGCCTCCTCCAATGGAGGGTTAGATGGACACAGATTGTCCCAAGGTGTTGAGAGGGTGCTAGCCAGAATGTCGATTCCCTAAAGGAGAGAATATGTGAAACCCCCATATCACTGTCCAAAAGAGCTCTAGAGGAGAAAGGAGAGGTTCCAACATATAGCCATCGAAGAAAATGTCTCATCATAGTCAACCCCATGTGCTTGAAAAATGGTCAAAGTCTATCCGATGTGGTACTCCAACATTACTAGAAAGTGCATGGCTTGGACCAATGAGTCATTGGTCCAACAGTACCTAGGTTACCGGTTAAACCTAGTTTCCTAGGAGGTTCACCAATGGTGAGAAATGTGTGAGTATTTACCGTATATAAGATATTATATCCTTAAAAAAGAATACATGTCATGGAAGATGCTTTAGGGTATGAGTCATGCCTTTGTTAAGGAGACACCAAGACACCCCTGGAGTAAAGGGAAGGTGAAATGACTGTTCTGCCCTTTTCTCCCATTAGACATGCAGCAAATTGAAGACTGCAGTCTGCACAAACAGCTAAATCTGATGAGAAAAGGTTTTAAACTAGAATATATATACACATTGACTTAAGAGTGGTGAAAGCAATGCATTGTATTGCATAATATAACTGTTTATAAAACGGCATCATTTGAAACAAGGAGAATTCGGCTCACACGGTATCATTGCATACATCCAATGAAGTTGATCGCTCAAGATTGCCGTAGTCCACTCGTTGTATCCTTGGATAGATTCTTAATTGCAAGCAAACAAGAGATTTTGCCACTAACACAGAGCACTCCGAAAGTTATAAGATATTGTTGAGCTAATCCACATAAGAAAAGGCGTATGAGATTGTAATGACGGAACCGCAAGCTACACCTTCATTTCTTTACCTGCGACATAAAATGTGGTTGATCAGTTTGGGTGCATTTGGTACGCATGATAGTACAGAACAAGACAAAACAAAAATTTATTGTCCCATGTTTGGTGCAACAATTAGACTGGGACAGAACATGACTGGGTGGAACAAAAATGGTGGAACAAAAATCAAGGAGATGGGACAAGTTTAGTAAATTACTAAATTACCCATGTCAAATTAAAACCCTAAAACCTTCCACAATTATTTCACATGCCTACTAAACACACCCTTACAATGTAAACCAAGTGTTAAAGTACTTCAAATCCCCTTGCCTTTTACAGTTCAAGAAAAGGTGCTACACAATACTCCTCCCTTCCTATGAAATGCTACTATTTCCTTTTTGGAGTGTCCAAATTAAAATTACAACATTTGATTTTTTGGGAAGTTTTCAAGTTAAATTACCAACTTCACCATTTTCATTATTACAAATAAGTTAATAGCATTTTGTCAACAACATCCCTTTATTTTATATCTATTTGAGGATATTTAAGATGTCTAACAAAGGATCAAATACTTGCATAAAACTAAGCACCAAATCATATGTTGAAATTATCATGGGAGTGATGAACAACTCATTATTGAAACACCACTAAAGTGAAGACGATGAAAGGAAAATGGCACAAATAGCCATTTCAGCCGACCAAATTTACCTATCAGCCATTTCTCTCCCAAGATTTCAAAAAGTCACCACCTCCGCTAATAACCATTCTTCAACTTGCGGAGGGCCATTAATAAGTTAAAAAATGCATGCCCACTTGTGGAACATTCTCCTAAATATCCGCTATTCTCCTAAATAACCCTCATAGGATCAGCTTTACGTTCTATTCCAGGATGTCCCTGCTATAGGAAGTGCAATGTATTCATTTTTTGGGAAGTTCTAGAGTCACAATTACCGGGTTGCCAATTGTGATTGACACAAAACATTGCATATACTGATTGGTTCAACAATATTCTCCTACTTTGTCATTATTAAAGGCGTAGCATTTGACAAATAATCACACAATATCTAGTCAAACCCTTTACATTTCACGTCATGGAGGACTATTAAGAAATGTCTCTACTCTGTAATTGCTCCGTCCCAAAATAAGTTTCCACATTCAATTTTAATTTGTCCCAAAATAAGGGTCCATTTCAAAAGCAAATGCCTATTTTCCAGTTTTACCCTTAATTAAGAGATTAGAAATTCGTTACTCCCTTTATTATTAAGGGTAAAATTGCCATTTAGTCAATTAAAAGGTGTAATAGTTGCATATTTCTAAAATTGTTTATTTGCTACTCTCTAGTCTCTATATACTAAATGTACCTTAAACCGTTGGGATCGGCGTAGAGATGAAGCAGATCCAGGTGACAGAATTGACAATTGTCCCCCTTGAAGATGCCTAGCTTTCCGGAGAACTCTGTTAGCTTGTCTAGGGTGATCCTCCTCTACAGGAGATCCACTTCCACTGTCAGTGGAGACTGAAGAGAGTGGGGCAGACATGGTTACGATAGAAGGTTCTTGAAAATGAAATGCAATTTCGGGTAAACTTCCTGCAACAACTATGCATAAACACTATATTACAACATAAGCGCAAGTGACAAGCATTCGACAACGTATGAAGGATCGTGTGAGAATAGGAGTATAGGTGAGAAGTGTAAGAAGGGATTTTGGACCCTTGATCACTTTAAATCCCAAAATAGCCCATGAATTGCGCTTTAGAAGGGAATTGATCTAGTGTATACCATTAGTGTTGATCTAGTGGTTCTCTTCAATTAGGATTGATCCAAGGGTGGAGATCCCTTCTTACCCTTCTCACTATAACTTCCATTCTCGCCGGAACCCAACCCTTCGATAACGAGCCATACTTAAAACAGAAAGTGTAAAATGTAGGGAATGCAAGAGATCAGGCCAGGACAACCTGCTGAAACTTCTTGAAATTTGGTTCTCATAGTTCTGACAAAATTATACAAGCCGTTAGTAATATTTAATTCCTGGATCAATTTTTTGGCCTCGCTCACGTGTGGATGACAATCAAGCACTGAACACATAAAGCAAGGAAGCAAAACATTGTCAGTATAACTTCATCAAGCTAAAAATAAGCAAGCAAGATAATACTTCCTCCATCCTAAAATATATGTCAACAATGAAAAAGCATATTAATGACACTTTTTAATCAACTAAATTACAACCCTTAATAATAGAGGGAGTAGTGAATATCTCTATCTCATAACTAACGGTAGAATCGGAAAGTAGGCAATTACTTTTGAAAGTGGCACTTATTTTGGGATAAACTAAAATAGAAATGTGGACACTTATTTGGGATGGAGGGAGTACATGCGTTACTTACAATAGTAATTATCGTTCTCAAGGCGGATGGTGAAGTAATACTCTTCCTTAGAATTCCTCGGATTTATGTTGGTGAATATAAATTTTATTCCTGAAAGAATAATATCAGAAGTAAGATAAATTCTTTCCAGGCAATAACTAGTCATTTCAAGTAAGTTATGTACCACGTCCCCTTTCAATTCTGAAGCCAAGCACCCTATTGTACCAAGAAATCGCCTCTCCTATTTCTTCTCTGAGTTCTGCATCCTGATTATGCTTTTTCTCGCATTCTTCCAGAACTTCAACCAAAGAAAAGGCAAAGCAGACATGAGACAACCAGACATCAAGGATGTCACTTTTTATTAGGAAATGAACCATGTGGCGAGGAGAGGGTTGGGGATGAGCTACCACAATATGTAAATATCTCATCATTTCATGCAAAGTGTAAATTGTCACATAAAGATCGCAAATGAACCAAAGGGCCTTTGGCCTAGCGGTATCGTAGCCCTTGGCCTTCTAGGAGGTCAGGGGTTCAAACCTCACCATAGGTGAGGAGGGTGTGTGAGTTTATTTGTTGCATTTGCCGTATATAAATATTATATACTTCAAAAAAAAAAGATCGCAAATGAAATCATCGCTCCATTATGATACAAGATTATATGAAAAACTAAATAGAGACAAGAGCTGGAAACCATAAGGATCACTCCTTATCAGACAATGGAACTGTCGAGTTATGCTTTGCAAGATTTCTTTAACAAAATCAGGCTAAGGTCATGCTATATTTACCTACCAACCTAAAAAGCACAAGGCTTAGTGACCCACATAGAACAAGAAATGCTTCTGGTACCACTGTACCAGCCACTAGACATTGCTCTTCTAACGAAATGATGGATTCATCTGGTTCATAGGATGTTTTATCATCCAGATTGAATTGCAAATCTTTTTTATGATCCTTTAACAAAAAGCTTTAGATACATATCATATGTTTCTCATGATCATTGATAAAAAACCTTAAATATGCAGGAAGCAGTTGGTCTTGGTTAGGGTTGTCCATTGGTTCAAAACCCAACCAAACCGAAGGATGAAAGCAAAAAACTGGACTGATAGTTGATACCAGTTCAGTTCTGGTTGAAAATTGGATCCGTCCCAAACTGAACATTGAACATTTGTTAGTAGAATCAGATTCACATAACCCATCAATACCCCCACTGAAAGTAATGTAGAAACTCTCGTAGCAAATGAACAATAATGAGCCTCGGCATTACAGAATACAAAAGAAATACCTTCACACTGGTGTGATATGATTTCTGCATATTCATCCTTTCTGGCCCTTTGATCAGCCACAATTTTCTTATGTTCTTCGATTCTAGCTTTTGTGGCAGAAATGGAATCTGCTATCGCCATCTTTTTTGCTTCTTTCCGGGTCTTTACTACACATCCATTAGCAAACAGAAAAAATATAACTTGCTGGAACTTGTGTTGCTTTTTATGTTGAAGCAAAGAACAAATTAGCAAGTACATCTAGATGACGATAAAAAGCTAAAAGAACTGGCTCTGAATGACTTGAAAACTGTCGTTTACTCCCTCCATCCTAAACTAAGCAACCCCACTTAAATCAGAATACTAATACATCAGCTATCATAGCCTCAACTTTTGAATAAAGCGGTCAGTTGTTAGATACACAGCTGAAAACCCCATGCGGCATTTTAGTCCATCTATTGTCAAGAAAAGGGATGAAGATGTAAAGGAACAATAATCAACAATATGCAGAAGGGATGTGGGAAACCCGTTTAGGAGGGGCAATAATCACAGGAAGAAGGGAGTTATGATTATCTCAGAGACTCAGACCATAGATATATTATTTACAAGCACCTTCGAGTTGCAATTTAGATCGTAAGTTCACCACAACCAAAGCTGAACGACCTGATTACATGAGTGCACCTACTTGAGTACAGGTCTGGGACTTTAAGGGAAGGTTAAATTTCTCCAATCTTATTGTATGATCTTACAGTTTCATGATACTACATAGTACATAAACCATCTTAGTTGAAAATAGTATGCAAAGTAAATGACCTCCGTAAGTCTGAACATAAAATGGTTCCTTGCAATGTCACTAAAGAGATTCAGTTTAATTTTTTAACATTAGCCCACCCATCATTTTGCTCCATGATACACATAAATACATAACGTGATGGAAAAAATCATAGCACTGTTAATAAAATGAGAGAATACCTGAAAGAGCTTTCACCAAATCATCCTCCGCAGCCCTCAATTGAGCTTTGAGCTTTCCTATCTTCTCTGAAATAACCACATCAAATATCAGCTTCATTTGTTTGTATTTGCTCAACTAATTTTATCATGTACACACTCCTAGCAATCTAAGATAAAGAGACCCCACTCCCTTCTAAAACTAGAGGACACTTTCCAAAATTTGCAGAGTTCAGAATTTATGAGATTGCAACTGGTCAACTTCGTCAACTGAGGCATTAAATTTGCCTCAAACACAACCCACAGTTGCAGAACATCCACGCTACAGATAGATAATGTTGGTATTAAATTTGCAACAAGTATATCCATTGTGAACCTCAAATGTACTATGTTTGACTGCAAAAGAACAATTACATATCTCTAATTACCAATTTACAGAATATCAATCCACGATTAGGATTTGTATGATGGTAATTAACAAGTATGCTATGACTCGCAAAACCCTAGCTTTTAAGCTGAATTAACCTTTAGAATCTTACACCAAATCACATAAACCACACGAAAAGGCTCAACCTTTCGCTCGATTTAAGATTTCTAAAAACTAAATATACCTTGATTTGATACAGTTTCCTGAGCGCTAGACTTGATTGACTGAAGAGATTTACGGAACGATATAGCAGCGGATTCCATCCTCTGCTGCTGAATCTCAATTTCTTTATCGGAAACCAATCTGAGTTCCGCCATTTTACCCCTGACTTCACGATCTCCTACTCTTCCCCTGTGCATCGTCATCTGCAATTCTGTGTTGGTTCTGCGTGTGATGATGATATATGAACTTTGAAATTGTGCACTCCCAAAAGTAGCAGATCCCGCCGTTTTCCTTTATTTATTTTTCAAAATAAATATTTGCTATAAAACCCCTTATACTTTTTGACAATATCCTATTTCCCCCCTTGGATTCTGTCTTGTGCAAATAAGACCACAAACTTTGTTTTTAACCAACTTTTACCCCCCTTTCTTATAATCTTTTAGGTAATATAGTTATGCCATTGCCAAAAAATGTGTTTTATAAAATGTACATACATTCATATTTACGTACACAAACTGCGTAAAGAGATCATCAGTATGACTACTTTGACACCTTGTGTTTTTCGAGCTTGAAGGTCTCATTGTTTGATCTGTAATTGATATATCAGTGTCTTTCCCCTTTTCCTCTTCTGTAGTTCCATATAAACAGTTCATATTTATCTTCTATGCCTCGTAAAGACTTTTAACGAATTTTTGATATGTATCTTATGCCTTTATCACATGTATGATGCAATGTATGTCTAGTATACAGTATAAATCATCATCGTATCCAACATACGACTGTCGACTGGTAATTAAGATTTGTTTTGTTAAAAAACATGTTGCGTTTGTTTTCCTTCCCTTACTTCAAGATATGTATTTAATGTTACGTATGAAGAAACCCATGTTTTATACAGAGGTATAAAAAATTTAAACAGTACTTGTCAAATTTAGGGTTTTTTTGAAAAGGTTGTCATAAATACATTGAATAACAGCCAAGTTCTCAATAAGTTAATATTAACGTTTTTGTTTTACAGGTGGAGTCCTTAAATAAAAAAGCAAGCCTCAACGTTGGTTGCAAGAGAATGTAATGACTATAATACCCTTACACGGTATGACTCATGCATCACAATTCATGTTTGTTTACCACATCCTCTCACCGATAATCACCGTATACGACACCTGACACTGGTAGTACCTTCACTGATAACCTGATGAACCACACTTTATGATAGAGATACGTGAGAAGAGAGGAACAGAGAACCATAACGTTTTTGGCTGAGCGGTACCTAAGTAATCCGACTTCTTAGGCATTGTTTGACAAAAATAAACAAACTTATAAAGCTAACTTATTTTCAGGGTACATGTTTGGATGCATATAAGCTAGCTTATTGAAACGCTACTTGGAATAACATTTTGGTAGATTATTGTCACTTTTGTCAATTATAACTCTCATTAATATTAATTATTATTTAGTATTGTTAATTATAGATAAATATTAATAAAATTTAAATATTACAAATATTAATAAATATTAA